GCCATCATGGAAAATCAACTATCAAATATGGGTAGGAAGCTGAGTGCTTACATCCACAATATCTCAGCTTCTACTTCCTTTCATTGTGTATAGTCAGTTGTGGTAAGGCAGTTACCCTTAAATTTCTTAAGGTATAAATGAATTGAAATGAAGCCACCCTAATATTTCCACTAATTAAACTCCCAACCTCCACCCTTACAATATGATATTAAATAGAACTATCATGATAACACGAAAAAGGTTTGCTAGATTAGGTGCTAATTTTGAGCTCACAGAAACTCGTGTTAAAATTGAAGTGATATTTCTTAGTAACAAAATTTAATAAATCAGTAAAAACAGATTTTGGTAACTCTTGTACAATTGTATCATTAAAAAAAACACAGATATACTGCTATTTGAATTATATCCTACAAATAGATATTAGTGTACAGGGACTAACTATCAAAACTCTCCAATAGATTTGTTCATCAAATCTCAAATCTGCCAGTTGTTTACAGATTTCAACACTATATCTAACCAAATGTTCATTCTTTTCAAAATACTTAAGAAACTAGTTTAAATAAATTTTGTAAGTCTCTAATTTTAAGTGCCTATTTTTATATCTTGAGAAAACTACGAACTGTCTTTCATAGTATATTCATTTCTAACTAATTATTCTAACAACTTAACTAGAAACCCCCGCTAATTCATGACTATCTATATACTACTAAAACCATGAGATTTTTTGTTTGCTTGTCTGTAATTAAATACAGCAAAAACGGCACACAGTATGAGAATAGAAATAGAAATAGAATATGAGAAATGGGAATAGAAACAGAATAAAACAAGCTTCTTTAAAATCGGGCCACGGGTTACCGAGTTAGCGCCGTTTTTCGGGTCACTTTTATGAAAATTTCTAGCATGAGTAATTTTACATTACACTACCGTTCGCGCTCTTTACGAAACTTTTTCGTACAAATCTATTTCCCTGTCAATGTTGTCATCTTCATTAAAAGGCGTAAGATGACAAAAACAAGATCTTTAAGAATTTCTCAATAATGTGCCTTGGTTATGGTAGGTAAGGAAATGTGAAAAATTTCTCAGTCAAAAATCATTTGCTGTGAGACTGTGAGAAAGATTTTTCATTTGGTGAATTTCGTAGTGTATGTTATCAAGTTTTGATGTTTCTTGCAGTAATTTGAGTAAGTAAGTATGAAATGTTTTTCTGAAATAGATTTTTTTGTTTTTTTGATAGCAATTACGTTTTAATTAACCAAGAATAATATTACAATTATCTTCAGGGGTTTTGAATCAACTGTGAATAAGGTTTGTTCAGCACAATACCTGAAAACTCTGACTTCACTTTTTTGGAAAAATGAAATGGTCTTTCCTTTCACTCCCGATCAACAATCAAATATCTTTTCTTGAATTATGAATAACACGAATGGATTGAAATATTTAATTAAATTATCTCAAAATAAACCTTCATTTCGATGCAATATTGAAATTAGCTTGAATTCTTCATAACCCCTGAATTGTGGGTGACCCAACGGGTCACGGTTAGTCTAGTATGTTCTAACACCAGAAACTATCAGTCTATCTAGCGAGATAGCCATTTTTAAGAACCTTAGGAACTTCATATATGATACTAGAATGAAAACCAATTGGTTTTATTTATGATATTCATTTCCAGTCAATAAATTTTTCTTTCTTAATTTTACTAAAGAATTTTGAAATTTACCTTAACTAGATTTAAATGGATCTTTACATAATTTCATAACTTAGTTCTAAC